GGAAGAGTCACCGTCGAGGATCCGAGACCTAAGGGAGTTCTAGAGGCCCACTGAGACTCAGGGATTGTCGAGAAAGTCAGGGGCCGGAGTTTTGTTGTAGAAAAGTTGAGGCAGATGGGTATTTCGGAAGAAGGTTAGTTGAAGGATAACTGACGGAAAAATAAATAAAATTGATAATGAATGAACTAAACGACAAGGACAAACAGATAGGGAAGGCAGGTATTTAAAAAAAACATTTTCGCGAAACTCAAACACTTTTGCGCGATATTATCCTTATTTTCCGAATAATAATAATACATACACATAATAGAGTTTATGGAGAGACCCTTTTACCGACAGGAAAAAGTTGCTCACAAACACTAGCGACGGTAACAAAACCATCGTAAAACACCGGCTTTATCGACGTCAACCCTTCCTCGCCAATTCTGCCTTTTTAGATTTCCAGGGACCCCCAAGCCCTAGGGACCCAAAGCCGTTTTGTCTCCTCTGAAAATCCCGTGTTCAACCCAGTTTGAGTAATCTCGACGAGTTGTCTTCCCGTCAGCTCAACCACGGTAAGTAGGGACGAGATTTAATGTCCTACGTGAGGTATGGGTCAGTTACAGTATTTTATTTCTCCCTCTCACCCCCCCCCGATACCTAGAAATTCCCCCCCGCATGTCGTGGCCACCGCGTCGTTCGCAATCGCAAATGGGCTCCTTTTTTTTTTCTCTGGCAAGCGGAAAACCCTACGCAATAGGCAAACTCCCGTAGGAAAAGGGTCGCCAAGCAAGTGGCCGGAGGCGGCACACCCTTGCTGTGGCAGGTATACTATTTCTTGATATCGCCGTATTTTGCTCCGCAAGACTAGGCGCTCACCTTGCCCGCGCTACTTTCAGGACAGAACAAAAGGGTTCCTCGAACAAATTTACAAATTACTTGACCGGAAACCATTCACCGTAAAGAGACACTGCGATTTGTCGGAGTTCAACCTCTCGCAATCTAAACGGGTAACGGATTTTTCTTCCAAGTGACCCCTAAAACCTAGGGGTCCCACAATTTTTCACCCCCCCCCAAAATCCTGTCCAAACTCGAGCAACAAATTAGCTGGTAACCAACCGATTGTAAACACGGGGGCGCGTTTAGCGAGTCAACGCCTCTGCCGCAACTGACTTCCCCGATTTCCAGGGACCCAAGCTAGCGGACCCAAACGCCGTCCTTGTCTTTCCTCTGAAAATCCCGTCGTTCAAACGGAGTAGGTAATTCTGGACCTAATATTAGTCTGACTAAACCACCGGAAAGAGACAAGATGTATTTCGGAACATGGCCGGGTTAAATCTTTTAAGGTCTAATTTGGTGTCTTAATTTTCGGTTAGGCAGGTTAGATCATAAGCTCAAATTTCACGGCAAAGACTTTTCCTAGGACCAGAAAAAGTTGCTCCTCAACAAAAGATTGTTACAAAATTACTGAACGGGAAACATCACGTAAGAGACACTCCATTTGCGGAGTCAGACCTTCTCGCAAATCTGAACGTAAAGTATTTCCGTGACCCAAAGCTTAGGGCCAAATTTATTCGCCCAAAATCCGCCGTCCGTACCAAACTTCGACAACAAATTACTCGTAACGAATCCCACTGAAAACGACCGGCTTTTATTCGAGTCACCCTCTCGCATCTGGCACTTCTAGATTTCCAGGACCAAGCTAGGACCAAAGCCGTCTTGTCCTCGCCTCTGAAAATCCGTCCGTTCAACGGGAGTACGTAATCTCGCCCGACCAATACTTAGTTTCAGACTAAACCACGGAAAGAGGACCAAAGATTGTGCGCGTCCAAACGGAATTTTTTCGTGGCACGTCACTTCTATCAGTCTTTACGATGTCCTGTCGTTGGTGTTAAGGATGGTGATTCATACGGCCGACTGCACTAGTCTAATGAGAGACCTTTTTATGCCAGGGAGTTTTTCGCGCTCTACACAAATCAAAAAACCTTTTTTCTGACGCCGGGTAGCCAAAAGCACTGTAAACACCGCTTTTTTTTATCGAGTCAACGCCTCTGCGCAATCGACTTTTAGGATTTTCCAGACCAAGCTAGCGGACCAAAGCCCGGTCTTTTGTCTCCTCTGAAAATCCGGTGTTTTAAGGCGGAGGGTTTACCTATTTTCGTCGAACCTAATATAGTTCAGACTAAACCACGTAGTACGAGACGAGGATAATGTCTATTGTGAGCAAAAAGTGACGTTTATGGACGTTTACCATTTTTTTTCCTCCGACCCGATTACTAGCATCCGATTTGGTGGTGCCGCATCCGTTCGCAATGAAATGATCTGCCAAAGCTGCAGAGTGTGGATGTGGGAATGGATAGGAGTCCGGCTGCGGTGGATCTGAGGGACCGTGGGGGTTGATAAGGAGTGAGAAGGCTTGTGAGATAAGGGGGGGCCAAATGGTGGAGTGCTTTGTAGGTGAGGACCATAATTTTGTAATTGATGCGATGGGAGACAGGAAGCCAGTGGAGCTCTTTGAGGACTGGGCTGATGTGATGCCATGATTTAGTATGTGTGAGGAGATGTGCAGCTGCATTTTGAACCCGTTGGAGTCTGTTGAGGGAAGTAGTGCTGATGCCGTAAAGAAGTGAGTTGCAGTAGTCAAGGCGGGAGGAAATGAAGGCATGGATTAGTCGTTCGGCTGCGGGGCGGGTGAGAGACGGTAGGATTTTTGCAATATTGCGGAGGTGGAAAAATGAGGTTTTGACTGTTTGGCGGATATGAGGTTCGAGGGAGAGGGTGGGGTCAAAGATTACGCCAAGGTTGCGTGCCTGATTGGAGGGGGAAACAATGGCGCCATCGATGGTGAGTGTTATGTTAGTGACCTTGCTGAGGGTGGATTTGGAGCCAATTAGGAGGAGTTCTGTTTTGTTGCTGTTCAGTTTGAGGAGGTTATGTTGCATCAAAGTTTTAATAGCTGTCAGACAGGAATCGATGTGGGTAAGGGGTGGGTTATGGAGGGATTTGGTGCTGAGGTAGATCTGAGTGTCATCAGCATAGCAGTGGAAGTCCAGGTTGAAGTGGCGGAGTATCTGACCGAGGGGCAGGATGTAAATGATGAAGAGGAGGGGTCCAAGTACTAATCCTTGAGGAACGCCTTGGGTGACTGAAGCTGTGGCAGAGGAGTGGTTGGGGAGGGAGATGAAGTGGGATCGTTCAGTGAGGTAGGACTGGAGCCATTTGAGTGCAATGCCTTCAATACCAATGTCCCTGAGTCGGGTGAGCAGGATGTTGTGGCTCACGGTATCGAAGGCTGCACTCAGGTCGAGGAGGATGAGAATATTGAGGGAACCAGTGTCAGCAGAGGTGAGGAGGTCATTGAGGACTTTGACGAGTGCAGTTTCTGTACTGTGGTGAGGACGAAATCCAGACTGAAGGGGTTCATAAAGCTGGTTGGTTTGGAGATGGCAGTGAATTTGATTGGCTACAATGCGTTCAAGAGTTTTTGAGAGGAATGGTAGGTTGGAGATGGGGCGGTAATTAGTGAGGGAGGAGGGATCAAGACCAGGTTTTTTTGAGGATTGGAGTAACGGCAGCAGTTTTGAAGGCAGAGGGGACGGTTCCATGGGACAGCGAGGAGTTGAAAGGTTAGCAAGATAGGGGCAGAGGACGGGGAGGCAGGACTTCAGGAGAGGAGTGGGTAGAGGGTCAAGGGAGCAGGTTGTGGGGATTTGAGGAACCGATCAGATGGAGTATTTCAAGTGGGGTAACCAGGTTGAACTGGGAGAGGCGGCGCTGGGGAGGAGGGTCAGGCAGGTCAAGGGAGAATGGGGGGGAGAAATGGTAGCCGGTGGAGGTTGGGGGAGATGCCTTGAATATCAGATGGACTGGAAGGAGTGGTTAATGGCGTTAATTTTTGTCTGCAAAAGGCTGGAGGAATGAGCTGCAGTAGCGGAAGTAGAAGTAGGGAGGTATCAGGCACGGGGTTTGAAGAGCTTTGACTGTGGAGAAGAGGGTCTGGGTTACGGAGGGGTCAGTGAAGATGTGGGAGAGGTAAGGTCAGTTTAGCGGACATAAGAGCATCTCTGTAATTGCATTGAGATGGAGTTTGTAGCTTTATGTAATGGACTTGTGGAGGGATGATATTCTTGAAAGACGTTCAAGTTGGCGGACTCGCAGTGCGGGTGTGACCAGGGTGAGGAGGTCTTGAAAGTAACAGTTTATTTGATGGGGGGCTAAAAAGTGTTGAGGGGACGGTGACGTTAGGGTGGAGATGAGGTGGTTGAGCAGATATCAGGCCAGCTGAAGGGTTGCGTCCAGGGGGGAATTAGACGATAGCAGTTGATGATAGGAAAAGAAGGGCTCTGGCTGGGATCTGGCTCATGTGTCGCCTGAAGAGCCCCCACTGGGACTGTATCAGCGTCGTTCTTGTTTCCTTCCTTCTGCCGAACAGAGGCTCTAGAAGTTTGCCAGAGCTAGGACAGACCATGACACCCCATAGCCAAGAGGGCGCACCCCAGAGCGACCCCCGACTTGGGTCGGGTTTCTTTTGCCTTACGGCACACTGCAGCAGGGCGAACAAACCAGACCACTTGTACTTAGTGAGCCAACGCTTTTTAATATTCAAACGCTGTTCCATTATTTGATGCAGTGTAAATTAATATATTACAATCTACATTGGCGCAAACATTACTTTTATTGGGTTAACCTTTATTTATTTTTATTCTGTGTTTTTTATATTATTTATTTTACTATGTATTCTTTAAAAATTGTTCATATATTGGTTGACACTTACATTTTTTTATTTAAATGATGAGGTTAACTGGTTGGGCCTCAGATCTGAAATATGGTATGTTTTTTTGGCCGGGGCCACACTTCCTCAAACAGATAAGATCCACAGTGAAGGTTACACCATAGGCTTAAGGTTCACGAACAGCTGGAAAAATCCTGTCTGTCTGTCCTGTCTGTCTGTCTTGTCTGTCTGTCTGTCTGTCTGTCTGTGTGTGTGTCTGTGTGTGTGTCTGTCTGTCTGTCTGTGCTGTCTGTGTGTGTGTGTGTGCTGTGTGTCTGTGTCTTGTCTGTCTGTCTGTCTGTATGTCGTCTGTCTGTCCTGTCTTCTATGCTGTCTGTCTGGCTGTCTGTCCTCTGTCTGTCTGTCTGCTGTCTGTCTCTCTCCCGCTCATCACTGTCTGTCTGTCTGTCCTGATCGTCTGTCTGATCTGTCTGTCTGTCTGTCTGTCTGTCTCTCTGTCTGTCTGTCTGTCTCTCTGTCTGTCCTGTCTGTCTGCTGTCTGCTGTGCTGTCTGTTCAGTCAGGAAAAGTAGGTCTGTTCAATGTATTTAAAGGCGCTCAGAGAACCTAGGAGCCCCGAGTTGGAGAGAGTGGCACACAAGCCTTTCTGAGTTTGGTCCTAAAGATCTCGAACCACTAGTTGTAAAAGAAGAACAAGAAAGTTCAAACCTTTCGAAGCTCATGCAGTTTGGATGTGCTTGAACATGCATGCAAATTCAGATTTTTCTTTACATATCGTTTATTCAGTGGTTTGCTTTTCCATCTTGTGTCTGTAGTGTATTCATTTTAGATTGTTCTTATTCTCGTTTAATGTGGGGTTTTGATACTGTTATTATCAACCTATTACATCCCTACTCGTACTTGTCCGTTGTTGTAAAAGCTCTTGTGCTGTATGCCCTTGTGTGATGTATTATACAAGCAGTTTTGTTCTGTTAATGTTTATTCCAAATATCAACTAACCTAATGAAACACATAATGTTGTAGCTGTCGAGGGCGTTTTATAGATTTTGTATTTCCCAACATGATAAATTGTTTATGTGAAGAACATTTTGTGGTTATTTCTTTTCCAGGGAGATTCTTAGTCCCATTATTTTGATATAGCGCAAGCACAAATTAGCTGTATTATGTTTGGTTTATGAAAGATAATTCTTTTACTCGGACAGGCCCCCTCTCGAAAAAGGGTCTTAACCGACCTGCCGGACTCTGCTTTCCGTAGCGGCAGGCTCGTGCAAAGTGGCTCACAGTTCTTCTGAGGGACGCAGTACGCAGCCTTCTGTACCAGGACCCAAGAAGCACGGCGTTCGTCACAATGATGTGCGCCGGCGGGGCTCGTACTCGATCATCCAGGCCTGTTGTTGATTTTCACTTGTTTGGTTCCCACCCAACAACCGTAGCTTGGTCTTTCTTCACCCCAAGGCCTTCTGATGGGGAACAGCTATCATTCTGGTGTAACTGTCACCCGTAACCTCAGCTAGAACAATAAGGTAAAGAAAAAGCCAAAATAGATGTTGCACTAAAACTGTAAGATATTTTGTGTGTGTGTGTGTGTGTGTGTGTGTGTCAGTGTGTGGTGTGTGTGTGTGTGGTGTGTGTGTGTGTGTGTGTGTGTGTGTGTGTGTGTGTGTGTGTGTGTGTGTGTGTGTGTTGTGTGTGGTGTGTGTGTGTGTGTGTGTGTGTGTGTGTGGTGTGGACCTCACAGGCTGGCTGACGAGTGGGCAATGAAGGCCAATCGAGCCCACATACACAGCAGTGGCTGATAGGTCCCCTTGAGATTCCAATCAAATCCACGCAATCTCTGGTTTTTATCGTAGCTTGATTAAAACAGACAGAACAAAATGTTTGACTTTGCAACAGACTTTTTTGGCCCAACAACGCAGTTCATTGTGATATTGAAAGGATCTCCGTGCTAAAAACTAAGATCAGATAAGACTTGTACTTGAGCTAAAAACAAATACAAAGCTCTTTCGACACACACTATCACTATGCATACATGACACATACAATTGCATAGCGAGAAACACTAAAAGCACATAA